CCAGCTCTCACTGCAGTCCTGTTTTTTCCCCACAGAAATCCAGGAGAGCAGGTTCTCCCCGTGCCTCCCGTTGCTGCTGAGCCCAGCCCAGCGCCGGGCGCTCCCGGAGCAGTTCCTGCAGAGATCCCAACTGGATTTCCTTCCCTTGAGGTGGGATGGGGTTATGGGGCCAGCTCCTCCCTGAGTGCCCAGCAGTGGGGCTGTGCTGGAGAATGGGATAACGGCAGTTTCTGGGCACAGAAATGGGGGATTTGGGCTGTGTGGAGAGAAGGATTCTCTGGATTTTGCCCTTAAAACAGTTGGAACAAGGAAAAACAGGGAGCAGACTCTTTGGAGATTGTGAAACTGAGCTACCACAGGAAAATGGGAAAATGAGGAACTCCATCCTCTTCAACATCTCTGTAACTTCATTAGACTCTGGAATAAATCATGGAATTTTGGGGACAAAAAAATCAGAATTTTGTATTTCCAGGAGTACAGACCTACATGGACAGCGTTGTGGGTTGTCTGTGGTGGAGAAATGTGCATAATTTAAAATAGAAATTTGGGTTTCWAAGGCCTAAAGAAAGAGCTGGTTCAGTAAAAGGCTTTGTCACCTTCATTTCAAGGTGCTCCATTTGCCTGGAGTAATATTTATTAGGATTTGGTATAAAGGAACCATTAATTAAGCAATCACCAATACGAGTATTAGAACTTTATGGGAATTTGTTGCTTATCTGAGACCTGGCTTCTTTTATATCCTTTAAAAAATAATTGATTTAATGAAACTGAAGTAGGTRATTTATATTAAAAAATCACAGGCAAGCTGAGATATGTGTAAATACATYACTTAGCTGATTTGATTTATTTATTTCACTAATAACAGCCTGTTGGTAAAAAATGTTTCAGCCCTAAGCAGGTTGAAAAATCCTGCCATGCTAARTAGAAATTGATATTATTATAATATTATTTTCGAGCCTTTATTTTATCGGAGATTTTTTTATATTTCTTACATTCCTTCAGGTTGTGGTGCTTTTGGGGATGTATCTATGGGTATTTCTCT